AAAAAAAAAAAAAAAAGGAAAAATCAGGAGCCTGAGGGGGCCCTAAAAGGGCACCTTTCTGCACTGTCATCTAGAAAAATCCCTCCTCTTCCAACTATATAACCTCTCTGTAATCAACCCACACTGTGCATTAGCCTTTTTGAATGTTCTGGGGGAAGGGGAATCCATTTCTGAGTGGCATGCAACTGCTAAAAGCTTAGGCTGGGTCTTTAGGCTTCACTTCTAAAAGATGAATCAGCTTATCTAGTATGCAGGTTCACCCAGTACTGGATAGAGAGAAAGTAACGTTCAGCCAAACCAAAACCATGATTAGCATCTGCTGTTCTCCACACTGCAGATTTCTTGCCACAGAGACCACAATCCATTACCAATAGAGATTCCTCCAGGTGTCCAACTTTAATGGACTGTAACACCAAACCCATATTGCAGAAAGCACTTCACTGCCTTGCTGCATGGCTGATGTCAAGTCAGTGAAGTGGCTCACATGTTTTGTTGAAGGAACTGCAGTCACAGCAAACTCCACCAATAAAGAAAAAACCTAAATTTTGTGCTAACACATCTAATAATTCCTACCAGTCAAATTAGTGGAAAGATTGCAAGGCTCTTCGAAGCTTCCTTCAATGGTCTTCTAAAGTTGAATATAGAGCCAAGAGATTTTAGAATACAATTCTGGAACCGTAACCTCATAGGGAAGGCCTACTGGTTTTACTGGCAAAAATCAAAAACCAAGAGGAGGAAAAGGAAATGGCTTTGCCCTTTGGTAGCAATTCACACAGTGAAACTTTCACGATCTCAGCTGTCTCCTCAGGATATGAACTCACCTATATGAATCCCCATCTCTGTTGTAGTCACACAATAGATAATCCTTTCCCACCACCTTATCTCGAGCGATCTTTAATGGCTGGTCAACAGAAGACAGGAGATCTTCACAGAGGCTTGGGACCTGCCAGTGAGAGAAGACAGGAAATAACAATATTTAGATTACACGGGGCTGGCTTCTTCGTAACAACAGTTCTGTGATCAATGGGAAAAGACTGTCCAGAACTCGACACCCTGCTCCATAAGGTTTGGGAAAAAAGCTTTGAGATTTTGAAGGGCAGCTTCCATAAAGAAGAGAAAAAGATGACACCAACTCCCTCTCAGAAAAAGTTACACATCATTGCAGAACACCAAAAACCTTATTCTGCCCCCCTTCCCCAACCCCAATAACTTCACATTTAATAACTTATCAACTGGTGTGGTCCAGTAAATCTAAATATACACATTCTCATGTTAGCTTCTTGCCAATGAAGGCCAGTAAGCCAATTGTTGAGGACTGATGAATAAAAGGTAAATATTTATAGTGGAGTAGAAACCAGAGAGCTGTTAAGAGAATAAGCTGTCCATACACTAGAATTTATTTTTTGCAGGCTCCTGCTCTGGGTGGAGTTTAGAATACTTTCCAGGCAGCCCGCCAAACATTACCATACTAGCTAATAAAAGAAAAGAAAATATCAAATCTATTTGCTACATAGGTAGCTTTGAACGGATCCATAATCCTAGCCGCCTCCCCATGCTCCACCTGGAGGAAGAGACTCCAATCATTTGTTTTTAACATGGCAGAGCAGCACTGATGCAATGTAGGGGAGATGTGTTGACACATTAGTCCAAAGCTGCTCTTCGCTTGCATATGCCCTGGTCTCTCACTCTAAAGCCAACTGTGGCTGCTCTATCAGTGTCAGTCTTCCAATGACTGCAGATTTTGTAGGAGGCAGAACTATGGCTACACCTGACTTTCCTCCAAATCTAGGCTCCTTCTCCAGCCTAAACAGTTTGAAACAGCCACTTACCTTGCACAAGTGTGCCGTGTTCCATGAGACAGCTAGCCAATCTACTTCCTAAAGCCACTATTAAAAACTCATGTATCCAATATTTTATTTGGAAAAAATACTACACCTCAAGTTTAAAAAAAAAAAGACAAAATGCACAAGCATTAAAACACATGTAAATGTCAAGCACATAATTATAGCAGATGAGACCAAGACTGCTCAGACCAGGGCTTTTCAACCTGTGGTCCCATGGAGGTCCCCAGACTATGTCTAAGGAGTCCGCAAAAAAATTACTATGATCAATCAAAAGTATGAGAGTACCCACACTCACAATTTAAAGGGGTCCATACCTCCATTTAATTTTTTTTATTATTTATTTTAGGAGTCCACAAGTGAGAAGAGGTTGACATCTACTGGCTTAAACCAACTAGATTTTGGCTGAACATTAGCCTTAAATTTAATGTGCAATCCTATAGTGCATTTAGTCACTGCCTGAAGTGATAATATACATTTATTGCCAGAAGGTTGTACAAGTTTAAGACACTTTTTTCCAAACACAGTACATATAACAAGGATCTAATACAACAGTTAAAACAAGCCTGTTCTGGCTGGTCATCTAACATTTAAAGCGGATGGGGGAAAATAGTTACATGCTCCTACAGTAAATTCAAAAAACAGTTTTAAATGTTAAAAAATGCAACATTTGGAAAGCTGAAAGCATCATAAAATCGGGAGATAAGAAAAAAAGTTGCTATTCTTACATTGGTGAAAGAGAAAGTGAAGTTTTAAACCACTGTTGCTGCACTGAAGAAAAATGTTGAAAAACGGTGAGCGTCAAAATAGTTCTCACACCCTTCAGAGTAACAGAACAATAGTGCAATTAAAGTAATATGAGAATGGCTTACTCTAGCAGTCACAGTATATTGGCCATAATATGCAATACTACCTTGGCCTCTATTTGAGAAGTATTTGAATTTTCAAATATCAAAACTTCAGAAGATGACCTGCAAGATGCAGGCAAACGTATTAGTCACAAGGTTCAAAAACTTTTGGCAGATGGATTCAGAGACTAATTTGGACTTTACAGAAGGAAATAAAGGCACTGAGAACTTGCTCCTCCAAAAATGCCTGGAGGACCCTCCAATTATTATGCTGATTTGAAGAATCTGAGGTTTGACATGGGTACCAATCAAGTTACATTTTTGCCTCTAGGAACTGCTAGGTCTGTTATTGCCTATTTTCTTTGATATTTGCCATCTAAACCCTACCGACTCAAATGCCATAATAACAGAGAAGGCTTTCTTATCAAATTTAATGGGTTAACAAGATATTAACAATACTACTCACTGTTGTAAGATACAAAAAACAAGACAAATTGAAAAAGCCCTATGCCAGACAGTTAAGGTGAGCAGGTTATATAGAGAAAGCCAGTGAGTTAATTATTGCTAATCTCAATATACCACCGGGGCTTTCATTTTTTTGGGTTCTGCTGTTTGGTTGGTTTGATTCTTGTTCTTTGGGCTTTTTTTAATTTCTAGAAATTCAGAGGGACAAAACACAATGAAAACACACCAGACAGTACACACAAATGAATGCTGTGTTATGAAGTTGTCAGGTTCTCAAGGAGGATGAATGCTTTACAGCACCCACTTCCATAAGCAGAACTATTACCTAGTCTCACCACTCCTGTGCTTAATTACTATGATATGTAAGGGTTAAAGTTAGAGAGAACAGCCATAAGACTCAGGTACTTCTAAAAGAAAAAAAAAAAAAGCATCCAAAATTAGTTTGAGAGAAAACACCTGAGAAGGAAAGGGGGGGGAGAGGATATGGCAACAACAAAAAAGTCCCTAGAATCTCTCTCAAAAGTGGAGAAATCCAGTACACCAAGGAGTTGATTACACAGAGATAAAAATCAGAGTGTCATGCCACAAGCTAAGTGAACTGATGTGTTTGTGTTCACAAGCCCATCTGGTTCCACTTTGTCTCTTCCTCTTCTCCATTAGCTATGAATTTCTGACTGGCTATTCACAGAGAGCAACTCGAGATGAACTCTTCAGTGGAGATGCACAGAAATTTCAGATGCATGTGCAATATAATGCAAACGCCTTCATCTTCCAGAGCCGAGCTCCTTGTGCCTCTTAAAAGCGGCCAGCTGAATAAATTGCATCTTCTGATCAACTCTTTGCCCGTTGCCCATTCTGGTGAGATAAAAATCTAGAAACAGCCTGCTCATTCTCCTGCCCATTTAGATGAATAACAGTGATGAAAACATGATTTGGAGAAAAGCAGTATTTTCCCCAGACTCCAATTCCAATCTACTTTTGCTCTTATTACTTGTGCTTGGAAACAGTCCCACAATGCAAATTCAGTTGAAGGCCAGCAGAGGTCTCTCTGTACAGTTCAAAATAGAAAAGGATTCTTCCTACAAGAACTAAGCTAATGCATTTTAAGAAACCCCCAAACTAAATATGTAAAAGGACAGCAGACTAGAGTTCACTCAACAGCAATATTGCTCCTGCACAGTCATCTGGATGCTGCAAGGAAGTCCCGTGCAAAAGGACGAAGAGAAAAGTAGCGAACAGTTCCGTGCTCTGAAGAATGTTTTAAACAATCTGGAGCACCACAGCCACAAAGCATGGTCACCGTCCGATCAAGGGTGCAAGTTAAGTTAAAGGGATGCCCAAGGGCCCCAAATTGACAAAGACTGTGGTTGACAAGTCTGTTCCTCCAATTCAATTTTGCAACAAGAGCAAGCTCATCTATGCAAGAAAAAGAATACTCTTTGGGGACGATCCAAATTGTGGAATGACCTCCCTCAGTTACAAAGGACCATCATAAGACTCACCCTCTTCTTTAACTGCACAGTATAGGCTTGATGTTGCTATTAAGTGGTTAGAGAACACAAGGTGTACATGTATAAATCAGCCTCCACTACATGCACATCTGTCAGTG